ATAATTCAAAAGATATAACATTTTTATTACTTTGAAATTCTGTGTGAATCTGTTTAATACTATACGGTGTATTACCACTCGTTTACTTCTCCTATGTTAGGAGTATTCATGTGGAAAACGCGTTTGGAAGGATTCATTCTTAAGATCTTCCCAAGTTGCACAACTCTTCGAATAATTCTTTTAAGATGCGTTTCCTAGTAAATTCCTTTCTAGGATTGAAATTTTTTTATTTTATAAATATTATTTTGGGATGGAAATATTAATTTTTGATAAACCATTATGCAGGTGTATTAGAACTTTTAAAGACTTTCAAAATTTTAGTGTATTCAACTAAAATTTTTATAGACTTCTAAAAAGTCTCCATGTATTCAATTGAACTTTTAAAGACTTTCTATAAATATATAAAAGTCCATCATATTCAATTGAAATTTTCTAAGACCTTAGTCACTTTGTATTTTAGGAAGGCTTTTATAACAATTTTTAAACTGAAATACCTTTAGAAACTTTTTTAATAAAATTACAAAGACAAAATCTTAGTAGAAATTTCATCAAATAGTTGATATTTTGCTGGATTTATGTGGATCTCTTCAAATCATTAATTTTCTATAATGCAGATAACTATATATCTCATATCGATTTTGAATATCTATTATTTTCCTCCTTTATCTTGAAGGCTTGTATACTTTGATTTTTCATCACAAATGTTAAATGTGATTTTTTATTTTTATTTTTTTTATGGTATTTTATGTATTTTTACTTATTCCTCTCATTTTGAATATCTATTATTTGTTTGTTTAATAACCGAATATAAGGCTCAACTCGAGTTCAACTCATTGAAATTCGCAAAAAATCAGATCGACTTGACTTGTTTAATAAACCTAAGATCCTAAATGAGTTTCTCGTGAAAATAAAATATTTTGGAAACAAGTTCGACATGATTGCGTATTTTATGAAAAATAAATAATTAAAAAATGAGTGGTTCATGAACAAACACACTTCGATTTTATCGATTAGTTGTTCAAGCTCGATTTATTTAAGAAAACAAATGAGCGAGATTGAGGTTTCAGCAAATCTAAGTTGTGTTCGGGAATGACTCAGTTTGAAGAACAATTTTATAGTTGATTCAAAATTTTTTAGAGGATTATTTATTCATCTTACTACACAACTGCAATGCTAAAACCTAGCACAAGTTAATTAATATTAGTTATGAAGCAAGGTTCATGAATATTTCATTCAAATATAATAGTTATACTATAGGTATATAAAAGTGTTAATAAGTTTCAAAAAGTCCAATATGAAAGTTTTAATAAATCTCTAATAAAAATTCTATGAAATTCTCAACATGTCTACCAAAGTTATTAAAAGTTTCACAAAGTCCCCTAAAGACACTCACTTTAAAAAGTTTTAAAAAACTCTTAAAAGTTTCAATTGAATACAACTCCCTAAGATGAAAAAGTGCAATGTTTTTTTTTAGGTGAAATGCTTTTTTATTTTAAGGCTGTGAATGAAATATATAGATTGATATGGTATATCATACAAACCACTAGAGCTCATATGACTGGGGACAGTTCGAGTGGACCGGTAGCACGATTGGAGGTCGGACTACGCAGAGGCTTAAAGTCGAGAAAGTATCACGTAATTGAGATGAGGACAACAACATGTCGAGCTAGAACTACATGATAGTCTGACGAAAACTCGGCTCGGAACTGGAAAGGTCGAGCTTTTACCTCAAAGGCAGGTTTTGGCTTAGCAAAGACCAGAATAGTTGAACATAGAGAGAACCAAGCTATTTAGCTCGGTATATCTAGAATGGCTACCTAAGGAGGTAGAATAGTGTGAGGGCATTAGATAAGGGATGATGTGGACAGGATCGGATATGAATAACACGTGGATAACAAAATTTCTTTGGCAGCAAGAGTAGGTAGTTCAGGCACCCAGGCAATACGATAGGGCAGTCTGTGCGTTCGGACAGCTAGATCGAGTATATCTTGGGCAACAACATAATGTCTGTATAAGGGGATAATATATGATCATTATTGTCTCTCTACTCTATGAATATTCTAAGCTAATACACATTACATACATCATCATTCCCAAATACACACTTGAGCACCAAAACATTTACGTTGAAACAATCCTCGACGCTGTTTTGCAGGTCATTCTAGCAGTTCAAGGACAATTCAAAGGACATCAGACCGAATCGAGGTTATTTACACACCATTTGGCGCCCTGTAAAAACGTTGTTAGAAAAAAACATAGACAGTTAAATGGTGTGTAAACCACAAGTGTCGAGTGCAATGAACCTCACTGTACCGACGAGGGAGGAGGTCAAAATATCAAGCAGCTCAACAAGAGAAACTCAACGGGGTGCACTTTTGTGTATAAAAAGTATTTAAAAGTATACTATTTTATATATCTTTTAAATACATAAAATAATAAATAAAAATATTAAATAAAAATAATATAAAAAATTAAGATGTTATCGTACATATTGCACATTATTGACTGACGGGTTACACTTTTGTGTTAGTGATATTGCACCTTAGCATAACAAATGCACGGTAATGTTATTTACATTAATAATATAAATATTAAATATAAAAATTATAAATACTAATTATATTTTTATTACATAAAAATAATTTGATAAATGCACAACAATTTTAATTAAATTACACATTATTAAAATTTTTGAAAATTGAAATGCACGTTACTGTTCGGTTTCAATTTAGTTGGGACGAAATTTTGGTTCTTACACACTGCACAATAACGACCGAAAAACGTGCACATTAATGATTGTAAGGTTGCCACTTTGTGTCTGTGACATTGCACTTTAGCGTATGTATCGACCGAAATGAACTGAAATATAATTTTTTATACAGTTTATATATGTCAATTCGGTGTTCGTTTTTACTTTTAAAAAAATTGATTATTCCGATTCGATTTTGATTTTTTTTAATAATCAACCAACCGAACTATATAAAAAATATTATTTTTACATATAAATTTTTTAACTTTTCATCATACGAAATATATTTTTATAATATAAATTAAAAATCATTTCATTTATTTAGATTGATTTGGTTAATCGAACTAACAAAGCGATTATTTCGGTTATGGTTTAATTTATTTTGGACAAGTCATTAAAAAAAGCATGCAATGCGATTAATCACACATTACTGTATTACGAGTTGCACATTAATGACTATAAGATTGCACAAATATCGACAACCTCGAACAAACTAAATTTTTGGTTCAAAATATTATATCTGTTTCGATTATGTGTCTTTACTTTTAAAATCACGGTTATTTCTCTTTGATATTGGCCAATTTTTTTATTTTTTTAAAAGTAACAACTGAAATAACCGAACCGACCGAACTATTTAAAAAAATACTATTATTTTTATTTATATTTTTTTTTATGTATTGCAGTGCACATTATGGTTATACAAAATGCACAATAATGACTATCAGTTTGCACGATATTGACTAAATTAAAATTTTCAGTTTGAAAGTTTATATTTTGGTTCAATTATTTGTATTTATGCTTAAAAACACAATTATTTCATGTCGGCTTTGATTTTTAAAATTTATAGAAATACCGAAACGACAAAATTATATAAACATAATATTATTATTATTTTTATATATAATAAAAATAATATTATTATTTTTTATATATTATAAACAATAATTAAAGGTATTAAAATAATATTTATATTTTCATTAATTACCCATTTAACCCATGTCCTCAATTGTAATATATTAAAAATTTATATAATAGCAATTAAGTCCCTACATCTAATCAAATTCTAAAAAACACACCCAAACTCTACCCCCTCCACCTGCTGCCATCTCTGCCGGGGATTTCGCTGCCGACGTTGGCCGGTGACGAACGCTGTCTAAGTTCACCAGTAAGCTTACCGGCGAACGGAAAAAATGGTCGAGAAGTCCACGTCCTTGCAGCGGCTGGCTGTTGAGAATTCGCTGATGGCGGCGGGAGCGAGAGACAGACGGCAAGGGCTGGCGGCTGACAGCTGATACTTCGGCCGACCGGCGTGAAGCTTGTTCGAAGGCCGACGACGACTCTTGGTGACCCAGCCTTCTTCCTACGGCCGATTGAAGCTCCGACTATGGAAGCTCCGTCGTCGATGAAGACGATTGCGGTGTCTGGCGGGGATGTGCGGCGTCCGGTGTCGAGTCCCGCGGGCGACATTGGCCATTGATCCGGTGCCATAGATCTGTGTGTGTAAAGTGTGTGTGTTCTGTGAAGAGTGTGTATTCTTTGAAAAGTGTGTGTGAGAGATCGACAGGTAGGTAGGGGGCGGGGATGATGGCGTGAAGTGGATAGAATAATTATTACTTAAGTGGGTCCCACTGATTGTTGATATTATTTCTAATGACAAATTTATTCCTAATACGTGGTCAAATGTTAATATTTGACCATAATATATTAACTTATTTAACTTATTGCCATTACATATTTGACTACATTATTAAAATTTGGTTTGATCATGACTACTGATTTGCTAGATCTAAAAACTTATATTCATTATTATTTCTTTCACTCGTATGATCTCTTCTTGTCTATATAGATTACTGCCAACTATAATTCCAATTGTTAGAGAAATCATGTGTATTAATTAGCCAATAGTATTACCAATTATAATCCCAATATTATCACATTTTTATTGCAATAATAGGCAAGATATATTTCCCATGCATCAACTAAATGATTCACTACCATGTATGAATCAATTAACTACACATCCTTATGGAAGTAAATATGTACTCGATATCATAACATAATTTATCACACGGGGTTCACTAATTTATCACCCCATCTTATAGTAACAAAAATCTACTCGAAATCATTCACAAGCTGGAAACAGTTTATTTAAAGCCCAATCTCCCATTCTATTTCTTTTTTTTCTTTTTTTCGCTTCCTGCAAATTTAAGAGAAAAGAGAACCCTTTTTTTTTTTTTTTTTAAACAAAGAAATGGATAATAATGAAGAAGAAATGAATAGGCCGGAGAAAAGGACGAAGAAAACGAGTCAGGGTCGCAAAAAGATCGAGATAAAAAAGATCGCAAACCCAAGCAACCGCCAGGTCACGTTCTCGAAGCGGCGCGTGGGGCTCTTCAAGAAGGCGAGCGAGTTGTGCATCCTCAGCGGCGCCGAGATCGCAATCATCGTCCACTCTCTTGGAAAGCGCGTGTTCACCTTCGGCCACCCCACGCCCGACGCCGTCATCGACCGCTTCCTCGGCGGCGACGGCGGCGGTGGGGCCCACGCGCCGCCGTGCGCGGCCGTTGACTACAATCGGCACTACGCGGGCGTTTGCCGGGAGCTGGAGGCGGAGAAGCGGCGGGGGGAGGCGGCACGCGGCGGCGCCGGCGCCGGCGTCGAAGGCGTGATGTGGTGGAACGAGGCGGTGGAAGGGCTGGATCTGGAGGAGCTCGAGCGGTACGCGGCGGCCCTGGACGAACTCATAAAAAACGTGACGATGAAGGCGAATGATTTCATGGTGATGCAGAGCTCCACATCCCTATTGCCGCCGGAGGTCGACCAGATGATGCTCGTTAATAATATTCAAATGGGCGCCGGCGTTTTTGATAATTACGAGAGCTTTGTCAATCTACCAAACGCCGGCGGCTTCGGGCAGATCTGAAGCTTTGTCAATTAATGAAGCTTGTGGTACTAATTATTGATGATTTTTGGTTTTTTTTTTATTACTTTTTTACTTGGACTTTTGTTTTTTCCCAGAGGGATTTAATTTTATAATCCAACTGGTGATCGTTGTCGACAATATTCAGTTTATTGGTCTTTGGTTAATTAATTAGCTAGATCAACTTCTTGTTTGTTGTGTGCAAAAATTTAATATATATAATTGAACTAAAACTTCCAACAACACATGTTTTGAAATAAGAATCATGTCCAATATTGTCCAAACACTCCACCAAGCAACCATATCCCGTCGAATACGAAAACGCATGTCTCTTATTATTACACCCGAAATTAAAATTCGGTCGACCAAAGCTTGCTGACACATAGAATTTTTTGGTGTTTTGCAAATTCGAAAGGAAGACGAAAACCCATACAACATTAATTTATAAGAGACATAACCGATATATATATATATATATACATATATATATATATAGGAGAATGCTACAGTCTCATTACAGTACGATTCCGTTGGTGTTTTTAAATACTGTAACGGGACTGTAGCCTTATATATATATCCCTAGCTAATAAGGCCGTTGGCCAACGTAATTCCCGGGTGGATCGTAGCTACATATCACAAACACATTGCTCCCGTCGCTACACTTGGTCGCGGCGCACCCCAAATGAGTAGTAGCCTTCCACACGACCTGCGTGTAGTGGCCGCACACTTGACTGCAACTGTTGTCGTCGTAGTTGTAGTACTGTTTCTCGTCCACCCACATTTGGACGGCCTGCGAGGCCGTGAGGTCCGTGCCCTCTGCCAGATTCTCCCCATAGCGCCCTCCAGAGTGCACCAACCCGCAGCCTGCGCTCACGCGCTTGGCCGCATAAGCAGACGCGTACGAAGCAAGTTCGTCGTCCCAAGTGAGGGACCCCAAACCGAGACCCGAGCGAATCTTGTTGTGTGCGTCTAGGAATTCCTGCGCTGACGAGGATCCGGCACTTCCTGAGGGGGCCGAAGGGGGATTATAGCTGCCAGAATCAGGAGGAGGAGAAGAAGGTGGAGTATCGTAGTTAGAAGGTGAAGGGGGATTATAGGTGCTAGAATCAGGAGGAGAAGGATAGCCGTAATATGGAGAGGTTGGATTGTTGTTGTAATAAGGAGATGATGGATTGGGATTCGAATTGGGAGAAGAAGGATCGCTATAGTAAGGAGAGGATGGATTGGTATCAGAATAATCGGGAGGCGAAGGATTGTTGAAGAAGTTGGGAGATGGAAAAAAATTTGGATAACCCATTGTTGTTGTTGATGATATTATTAGTATGAAGGAGGAAGCCAAGAGGGTGCATGTGAGATGGGGTGAAAAGTTGGGGGACATTTCTTTTTTTTTTTTGGATANTGGGGGTTCATGCATGTATTTATAGTACAAAAAGAAGTGTGAAAAAAGAGGTTAAGCTGTCGTTAATCAAGGTGAGTTTGTTATAATCGTCGCGTACACACACACAGACTGAGATTCGAAAGTTGATGATTTTGTTGTCTGGGATTGTTTTTGTGGAATTTTTGTGCGGCGAGAATGTATGTAGTGTTGCCGTGTCTCGTCTCTTGAGTATTTATTTATTTTTTTTATTTTTTATTTTTTATTTTTTATTTTTTTTTTGATATTTGTTATTTGGGATTGTTTTTGTGGAATTTTTGTGCAACGATAATATATGTAATGTTGCCGTGTCTCGTCTGTTGAGTATTTTTAATTATTATTATTTTTTTATTTAATTCACGATAAGCTTTGCTCTTTTTGCCCATTGATCGTGGATAATAATGCTATATATTCAGGAATCTTCATATATCAGAGAAGTGTTATTAAAAAATAAAAGAAATGTTTAGTTATGCTACAAAATGAAATGTTTGAATTACAATAAGTAGGTGCTTTGACTTTGCTTAATAATAGCTTGTTTAGTTAGCTGTTGATGCCAAACATCCAAAATAGAGCATGCGTTTGAACTCATTTTTTTTTTAAGGAAATCAATTAACACATGTCCTTACTGTTTAATTTTTTTTAGCCGGTCGTAGGCTCTCACTCGAGTCGTATCTCAAAGAAAGACTATTTGGAGCTTCGTTTAAGTATTAGTTGTCAAAAACATAAAAAGAGACAATAAAGTCCTAGACATTCAAGGTGGTTGGGGTTGATTTTAAGCTAATTGCAACTAAAAATTGAAAGCACTTGAAAGTAATTAAAGAAAGGTGTAAGTTATAGAGAAAAGATCGGAATTTTAATTGAACGGAGTCTCCACAACTCCAGAAAACAAAAATAAAACAAAAATAAACATGTTTGCACTAAGATATTAGGTAATTAACATGAGCCTTCTTAACCTAAATGATTAGGCTTTAAACAAAGTCTCAACCTTTACCACAAAATAAACACCTATTGAACTCCTAAATTCACTTAGACAAACAATGAAAATAAAAAGAGTCAAACTTTGTTTCATTCAACTAGCAAAACACCACATTTATTTTGAAAAACATTATAAGTAAAAGCGGAGCAAATATAGAGTAATGAACCTAAAACTAAGTACTCACTCTCCTAATACATGTTTGTAGAGAACTAAAGTGAAAAGATCGAATCTTGAATAAAAATAAAGTCACCGAAAAATATGAGTCATGGAGCTCCAAACACTAAGCTAGAGAGAAAAATAAAAAGAGAGCAATTCACTAAAGGAAAAAATAAATAAATGATGTCTAGGTGCTCCCACACAAAGGGAGCAAATGTATTTATACAAACACCTCAAAACACACATTGATTTCACACAAATTTAATGAAATCTGCACTCGCAACCTCGCGGAATGGAGTTCGGGTCGCGAATCAGCAATGTGTTCACGGGGTGAACTCGCAGGGTTGCGGGGCTCACATCGGGTCGCGAGTTGGTGCTGGCACGGGGCTTCTCTCGAGCGGCACTCACGACCTCGTGGACAGCGACTCGGATCGCGAGTGCCTGGTCTCGCGCGGCAACACTTACAGCGTCGCGGATGCCATCTCGGGCCGCGGGTGCCGGGCTGGCACAAGTAGTCACTCGAGTGACGCGAGTCTCTAGCTCCTCTCGGTGAAACTCACGTGGTCGCGAACTAATGCACTGGGTCGTGAGTGCGGGAAGGCCTGGGCGGACGCGACATGGCACGGGGCGATCTCGGGCGCTACGTACAGGTCGCACAGGACGTGCACGGGCATTGCACGGGTCATGAAAGCAGGCGGTCTAGAGGCCGCCTGGATGCCCGTGTAATTTTTTATAGATATTTTTTTAAAAATATAATAAAAATAAATTAAAATTTTTGTACATTAAATGTACAGTAGTTATAAAATAAAAAAATAGTAGTTATATTAAATTATAATTATAAGTTTATAATATCTTTCAAATTATTATATTTTATAAAATATAGTTTGTAAGTTATTCATAATTTTAAACACAAAGAACTATATTAATACATTTGAGTGCTTTAAGGGCTTGTTTGTATACAAATATATCCGCTTAAATGAGTTCCTTTGGTTAACCATAGTTAAAGTAGTATGGTTAGTTGTTAGTGGGATTTTAATTTAATATTAAAACATTACTTATAGTTGATTTGATGTAAAACTATGAGAAAGATAGTGTGAAGTAATGGTTAGTTAAAATTATGTGAGTAGATAAATAGTAAATTAAAGTTGAGATGATTTGTAAAAATGATTGGTTGATATTATTTAATTATATTAATAATATTATAAATAGTGGAGTGAGATTAAAGTTGAGTTTGATTTGAAGTATGACTTAAGTATGAATTGAGTTTTTTATATACAAACACACTCTTACGTGTTAGACCCAGCCCGCCCCCCGCCCGCCCACTTGCAAGCCTATGATATCTTTTATAACCTTGATTATAAACGGATACCCTTATAACCTTGATCATAACTTTTAAAACCGAAAATCGGTTTTTTAGTTTTTTACATGCCTTATACTTTTAAAACATCTATATATATTTAATTGCTAGCAAGGCAATTAAGAAAATCTCATTTGTTTTTTCCTCCAAAAGAAGATATAAATACATATTTACTTTATTTTTATTTTTTATTTTAATTAAAATCTTGAACAACTCACTAATCAATGAAAATTATATATATAACCAAAAATATTCTAATAAAACAAATGTAATTATTTGAATTTTTTTGTCTTTTTTGTTTGTTTTTTTTAACGAAACGATAGATGGAATAAAACTGAAAAAATGTACAAAGTTCGTGAGCATACTAGCCCATATGAAGGATAACTCCTACACTGGAGGATCACCAAAGGTGTCCTAGAACCAAACACTAGCAAATATTAGATAGCAGAGACTAAGCTACAAAGACTACCCAATACAATGAAGCTAAAAAACGAGCTGCATAAACTATCCAAACCACTGTCTAGACCAAACATCACTAGCTAATAGATAAAATACTCCACCACCAAAGGACAACAAGATAAACATAATACACAAACAGTAAAACAAGAGAACACCACAAAACTGAATAGCAACCACTGATCACTCAAGGAACCTAGTTGGTCTCCAGTTTTAAATTGATCCCTATCAGAGAATTCAAGCTAGTCATCCAAAGCAAACCTCACCACCTCCTTTGCTGGTCTCTGGACGTTTTCAAATACCCACTGGTTTCTTGCTTTCCAAATCTCCCATAACAGGTAAGAAGTGATTTTAATCCTACCTTCAGTTGTAGGGCATTTCTCCATTAAGCACAGGGAATCCCACCAGCCCTTGAAGTCTGCAGTCTCTTTGTCAATGCCATCCCAGGTGATAGGTGATAAATCCCATATCATTTTAGCTCGAGTACAGTGAAAGAATAGATGCTCTAAAGATTCTGGGCCTTCACCACATGCTTTGCAGATTACATCAACTGGTATCCCCTTTCTACTCAGGTTGCAGTTTACTGGAATGATATTAGAGTAGCACTTCCAGATAAAATGCTTCACTTTTCCTTTGATATGCAATGACTAGCTCTTCTTCCTGACAATTCTACCCACTTTCTGCTCCCTACTGCACTCTGGATTGTCCATGTGGCTCCATTTTTCCCATACCAGCTTATTATAAGTTGATGCCACTGAGAAGTCCCCTTTAGCATTCCAATCCCATATGATTCTGTCCTTCTCTTCAGGTTTCAGATGTTTAATGCTCTTGATGGCTACCACTTCCTGATCAGTGAACACCTCTTTCAATATGTCTACATTCCAGTGTCGCCCTATGCTGTCCATCAGTTCTTTCACATAACACAAGTCTGAGTTCCCAGGCTTTTGAGATATGGGTTTGAATTTTCTGAGGTTGGGAATCCATGGATGTTCCCAAATTTTGACTGATCTTCCATCCTTCACATCAAACCTTATTCCTCTGCTTAAAATTTCCTTAGCCTCCATCCAACTGTTCCAAAGCCAAGACCCATTTTTTTATTTTTGAGCTTCCAAAATTGATGACTTTGAGAAGTATTTGGCTTTCAGTATTTTGCTGACTAGTAAGTTTGGTTTGGTGAATATCCTCCAGACTTGCTTTGTGATCAAGGCTTGGTTTAGCAGATGAATATCTTTGAAGTTCAGTCCACCTAACTTTTTAGGTAAAGTTAGCCACTTCCAAGCCTTCCAGTAAACACCTTTCTTCTTAGGGTCTGAGGATTTCCACCAAAAATTTGCAAAAACCTGTGCCAATTGCTTGCAAATAGTTTTAGGAAGTACAAAACAAGACATTACATATATGGGTAAGGCTCCCAACACAGCCTTAAGCAGCACTTCTTTCCCTGCTTGAGAAAGAAAACAGTTTTTCCAACTATTCACTCTTTTTTTTACATTTTCAGTAACAAATGAGAAAGTGTCAATTTTTGAAGTGCCAATGCCCAAAGGCAATCCCAAATATCTAGATGAATTGTGATGGGCTATGCCTAACAGGACACTACTAATATCATTTTTCTCATGGAGGGCTGTATTCTTGCTGAAGAAAATAGAGGATTTTGCCAAGTTCACAGTTTGACTAGAGAATGTTTTAAATTTTTCCAGCAAATCCATCAAGGTTCTAGCATGAGATGTGTCAGCTTGACAAAAAACAATAGTGTCATCCGCAAAAAATAGGTGAGTGAAAGCAGGCCTATTTTTGCAGATTTTGATCCCACAAAAAAGATTACAAGTAGAGAGATATTTGAGCTGCCTTGAAAGAATTTCAGACACTAAGATGAAAATATAAAGGGACAGTGGGTCCCCTTGTCTAATTCCTCTGGAGGGCGTCAAAAAGCCACAAACTTCACCATTAAGATTAAAGGAAAAGGATATGGAAGTTATACATACCATGATCCATTTAACAAAGGTGGGATGAAATCCAAATTTGAGTAACACAAGTTTAATACAGTCCCACTCTAGCCTATCAAAGGCTTTAGACATGTCTAACTTAACAGCCATATAGGCTTTCCTACCACTCCTATGTCTGTTCAGAAAGTGAATAGCTTCAGAGGCTATAATCACATTATCAAGTATTTGCCTTTGTGCAACAAAAGCTGCTAACTTTTTTTTAACACAATGGTTAATTAATGTAATTATATTTTTAATGATTCTATTATATAATATTTATTACTAAAACTGACCAATTTTAAATCATATTAAATGATATATGGAAGTCTTCTTAAACTTTGTATTGCTCTTAAACATTTTTTTAAAAAAAATGGTACATTACCAACCTAGTGTATAACTAGATTGACAACACAAGTGGAAACATTCACAAAAATAAAAATAATAAAATACACAAGTGGATGTTTCCACTTGTGTTGTTAATCTAGTTGTCCATTAGGTCGACAATGTAGCATTTTCCTTTTTAATAAGCTAAGTTGGCTTTAGTGGGATAACAAATTATAATTTCAATAATAATAATAATAATAATAATAAAACTTTTTAATATAATTAATAGGTCATGATACCTCAAATATATAAAAATTACGTTATCTATTTTATTTTATGCAATTAATATAGTGATTCGAATACTTTTATAATTAATTTTATCAATGATAAAATTTTTAAAATGTGATACAACGATATTATATAATATCTACCTTATAATTTTAATATTATATAATATACATGTAACTTATAATAATTTAATATCTACCTTATTATTTTAATATTATATAACATACATGTAATTTATAATAATTTAAACATTTGTGCACGTACACATGATCGAATATTAGTTGACCTTGATTATAAATTGATACCTTTTATAAATTATTATAAACAAATAAAATAGTCTATCAAAGAGTTGATACATGGCGATAATTACGGTACATGTTCTATGCGTTTTCAACCTCAATTAGCTCCACATTTACTCCTAAATCTCGGGTGAATCAAACTTTTTCAACTATGGAATGAGATTATCGCAACCGGAATCATTTGACCCTAATTATTGGGAATAACAACTTTAATATTATGCTGGCTAAAGTTTTATCCAGTTCCAGTATTATATCAAAGGCTGATTTCTCATTCTTTTCTTTTCTAACAAACGTGGCAGAATTGAAGAATACTAGTAGTATTGAATCCCGTGTATTTACACAGATATAAAACACGTTTTTATTTGTAATAATTAGACATTTATTTCTATCATATAAAATTATTATTTTTCTTAAGTTATTTTTATCATTTAAAATTAATTGAGATTTAAATTTTATTTTAACCATGCAACGTGTAAATTAGTTACATAAATAAAATAATTTATATATTTGTGGCATGTATTAAGAAAAATTAATATAAATAAAAAAAATTATTGGTGTTTCTGATTTTTAGAAAAAAAATATGTGTCAATCATATTTTTCTTCCAACAATGCAACCAAATATAGCGGTTACAGCTCTGAATGTGCCAATTAATTTTAAGTTCCAACATTAGTCGTTACACATTTGAATATTTTGCTACCAAATTTAGCATTAATTTAGTAACTGATCCAAAAAATAAATAATATAAATTTATATATTAAGGTGTAACAGTTTTAGCAGAATAATGAGTAATTAATTAAAAAAAAAACATAACTCCTTTTAGAAGAAAATAAAAATAAATTTTATTAAATGTTTTATTAAATGCATGTAATTATATATATATATAGATTTTAGAATTAGAATAATGGAATCTCATGAGAAGAAAAGTTCATCACAATTAGTTGATCCTTCCTTTTCTTTGTTTCTTTCATTTTGGTCCTAACGCACATCAAGCATTTTTCTAAACTCCTTCAAAATCTATATATATATATATATATAATTGTTGGCTCATGAACATTTAATAAATTATACCTATGTGGCAATATAATTTTTTCTATTAAAAAACTATTACTTTTTATTTATTTAACCTCTCATTTAATTATTAGATAACCAATACACTAATCACTTCAAAATTACAAAAATCACTTTAAACTTTTAATTTTTTTACAGCTGATCATATAATGTGTTGACTATTTAACGTGATTGTTGTGGTTACATTTAAATTAACTTCTTTTGAAAAATAAAAAACGTATTTGAAATTTTTAAATAAATAATAAATAATTCACAAAAAAATACATGCCAAAATATACATCCAATATGATAAATGCAATTTTAAAAAATAAATATTTCAGCTCCTTTAATTATAAATTTAGCCTGCAAGAAAAATCATTAATCATTATATGCATACAAATAACTTACAATGCTTTATTTATATATGTGCAAATGCATATTTGGAATACTAGTAAACATTCAGTTAAACATTTGGAAATTTTACCCTTTCAAATACAATGATATTAGTCACACAATAGCTTCCTTTTTGTCTCCAGCATGAAGACATACCGCCTTAGGAGTCATCGCCATTATAGTGTATACATTAATTTACCGAATATAAAAATTGACATCCAATTATTACTTTTGTCATTATAATATTCTCAAAGTCAATAATTCAATTTTTATCAATACATTATTATTTGGTAAGCCAAGTAGTAAATTGATCTAACAAATTACTGAATTAGATTATCTCCTTATTCACAATCTGGTGTAGGGAAGCGTCCAAATGAAAATGATAAATGAGATATTCTCTCGGTAAAACTCAATCAATTCTTATTATCAATTCATCAAGTAACAATAAAGCGGGAGACTCCTTTAAAGAAGGCTCTCAAAACTAATAATTCTAACTTGCTAAACAAGAAAATACCAAATGAATAAATATTCTCCAACCTATTACAAATAAGGAAATAATAATATTCTCTTACCAACTAGAAAAAAGGAAATAAGGAAACAATAATAAAAGATTATAATTAATAAAGCTAAATATGGAGATAATCATATTTATCTAGAAAAGCAATTGTGGTCTCATCTCCATCATCCTCGTCTCCGTCGGAGTCAGACGCACGACAGGAATCGTCCGACGTTTTCCCCTATCAAACACGAATGTTGAATGTTGCATCTGTTTGCAAGGCCGTAACAAAATATTGTGGGAGAAAAGCTCGGGTCCGCGCGACAGATAAACTACCAAGTCTTCCAAAACCTTCTTCACATCTGCAAGGATACCAACATTGTGAAACTCGACATTATTCTCGTCGGGGCTAACGAGGCCTGAAACAAACGATCTCTCGTAAGAATCTACAAGAACCGCTGCCATTCCTAACTTTGCAAATTGTCGAGCATAGCCAAAAACCTGTGAGGCCACGACAACATTATCACAGGTCATCAAGATGACTGCCATGGCGTCGCATATGCTCGGGATACTTCGTTTCTCCATGTTCGTAATGTCCACGTCAGTCAGAGGCTTCATGAGGAATTCCTCCAGCCTCGTAGGCTCCTCATAAAAAATCGGTGGACCATCATAGAGACTGTCCTCTTCGCCGGTGAGGCACTTTTCCACCTCCTCGGGTCCTTCATCGAACACCGGCAGACCGTCGTAGAAATCAGAGCCGGCCCTGGGGCAGGGCCAGCAGGGCGACCGCCCAGGGCCCACCCAGGACACACAATTTTTGAGGGGCACCAAAGTTAGAATAAAAGACACAATTTTTTAGGGACATCGAGTCAATAATAATACCTTTTATATTAGTTTTTTTCTTTTCTCTCTCTTCCATTATTTTTCTTTCGGTTTCTCTCATCTATTAGTTTTTTTCTTTTCTCTTTCTTTCATTGTCTTTCTTCTTCCTCTTCCTTTTTCTTCCTTTTTCCTTCTTTAGTTTTTTTTTCTTCCCAGTTTTTTTCTTCCCTCATATACACATATAACAGTGTTTCTTCTTCTTCTTTTTGTTAGTTACTTCTTTTTTCTTATCCAAATTTTTCCTTCTTCAGTTTTTTTTTCTTCTCCCATATACA